CTGCCAAGGACGGCACGGACGATGGTCCAGAGATTACTACGGGACACTTCTCGTCACCTTCCACTCTTCGGCCACAATCAACGGCACAAAATATGTAAGCCAGCGTGAGATGTTAACCAGATAGCCAAGTGTGGCAGGGTCGCCTCTACTTAGCATCATCAGCCACGATCCAGTGCTAAGCATGCCCCAGCTGCAGAGGATTAACAACCATAATTTGCGCGTCATCCAAAGTTTCGAGGACGTATTGAAGGCCGCCGGGTCACATTAGATTTGGATTGCAGAAGGCATCATCCTGTCGTTGGCATTGGCTTTATCATCGTTTGACAAATTGTAAAGAGTAGGCAAGCATCGAACGACACAGAAGGCCATTAACAGCTATAAAATAACCGAGGACGGTCAAAACCTTGAGGAGGGAGTAGTTAACACATAAGAATTTCACTTCATATTAAGGTCATAAGAATACACTTTTGTTTATAAGAACGCAAGAATGTTGCAGTGCACTTTGCTTACATTGCGACATTTTGCTGACTCATGAGTTATGTGCCCGGCCACTGCGACCAGCAGCAGTAACCTGACACTTGCCTATGTCGCAAGCGACAGTATCGGCGTATGCTGATTCGGCTTGCCGGATATAGCAGCTGAGACTTATGCGCCCAGCCTTTGGGGTCAGATCCAATTCAATGTTTCAATACTAGTTTAGTTTTGTATCCAACTTTGTAAGAACAACTTCTTCAAATATACTGCTCCAGCATTTGCCGTCATCAATCCGTTATACTAATTACTGAGCCACAAGTACAGTGATTTGAAAGCTAGTTGCTTTCCGAACATAATCTACAAGGAATATAACCTTATCAATCTCAGCACCTGTGATGAGGATCTGAATATAAAACATAAACATCTACAATTGAGAAATCAAATAACTTACATGAATACAATGAAATCAGAAGTTTACTTAACGAGTGGCAACATAAACTGACAAGTTTACACAAACACGTTACAACGTCTAAGGGATCATCATAATGAAAAATATAAACTTCAGCTTTATAGCCTCTGTCCACTGGCTAAAGAAATGTCATATTTTCAAATTTCACATATTGGTGTCCCACCGGGTGTCGATAACATGTGAGCGGGACATTTTGACATTTCGCCATGTATAAATTTTAAAGACTGTGGGATTATTCTAATATTAAATTTCTTATTTAAAGTTGCCGCTTGCCTGTTTATGGTTATGATACTTTCACATTTTTTACAACATCGATGGAAATCTCGATTAATCATCGCAAAAAACACGAAATGTTCAGGGCGAATTTACACATTTTTCAAAAATGTGACATTTTGAATAATGACCAAGAGATGTTCGGCCAATTTAAATCACCCAACACCATAAATAGGGCACTATCACGCACGTGTGAAGAAATACAAATTCTTTAATACAGAGCATGTAGTATAGATATTCCGTGTAGGGAAAAACACCTTAACTGAGACAATCTCAGCGTCAGTATGCGTAGAAAAAAAAAGAAAAGTTCTGACTGGAGAGTGGCCTTAACGACAATTAATACCCCACCACCTCGAGTCGGCCGATTATTTCTATGCAAAACAAAACCTCAAATCAGATATGGTTGAATTTAACCATGTTTCTGAAAATGCGATTATATCCGAATCGAAGAGCTGCCCATAAAAAGTTTTTTAAGGTTGGGAATGAGACCTGACATTCTGGTAATGACGAAGTTAGTTTTTTGGGGCAAAGATGGTACCCTGTATTGAAAGGACTGGAAGGGTGACAGGCTGGTTTTGGTTTTTTTGGCTTGAACTTGTGAGCAATCATGTGTGGAGGCCAAAATTTTGGATCACAAATGATTGGGAACATATTAAGTGAAACATTTATTTTTAAAGATGATATTTCACTAGGAATGGAGAAATTCAATTTGGTAATTGACACACTATAAGAAGATTTGCTAGCAATATAGGCTGCGAATGACTCATAAGTGGTGTCAGACGAAAGTCGAGACACAAAAACTTGCCCACGCGGGGCAACAATAGTTAAGGTAGGAGCTGATGGGGTACAGGTAAAACAGGATTTGGTGGGGCCAAAGAGGCACCATGATTGTGTTTAACAATCTGGGCTAGTTTGCGCGCAGGTCTCCCTTTGCGCCCAGGAGCTGACGGGGCTGAGGCAGTTTGGTTAACTGGGACAGATTCGGGGACTAATGGGACTATTACATGGGATAAAACGGGGGTAATATTTGGGCAGTCGCTCAGAGAAGGCGATAATGACAACATTCAAGATAAATCCAAGTAGGCAGAGACGAAAGAGGCGTAGGAGTCTGGACAGACGAAGAAAGCAACTGCAAAAATTGAGGCTCCAACCGGCGATTTGTTGCAGACTCGCACTTGTATTTGCTAAGCAACTCAAAACTCGAGTCAAAATTACTCGAGGGCTGCTTAGCCACATTATTAAATTTTAAGAATTGGTTTCTCACATAATTAAACACTCTGGAGAAATCAATTTGCTTGTCGATGTAATCTGGGCACGACCAACGCCGCAGCCCTTCTTGCCAATTGCAGCGATCTTGTCGCAATCACGCCCAGTGAGACCTGCACATTTAGCATGCATTATATTCTCACACAGCCAGCAATTAAAGAGTGGCAGTGCAGAATCATCAGCCTGCTTGAACGTGCAAGGTTTCTTACAGCACGACGTATTTATTATAAGCATATGCAAGTTGCGAGAGCAATAGCAAAAATATGCAAGAGCGCGATGCACAAGCAAAAATATGCAGCAGCGAACACACGCACAAACAAGTGAATGCATAGGGGAGCACCAAAGCAAAAGAATCAAAACAGGCAATAACAACAACACGGAATTGACGCAGCGTTGTATAAATGCAATAATTAACAGACTTACGCTGGACGACAGATAAAACTGCACAATTTATAAAAGCTTTTTAAGTAAAGCACCAAAAATGCAAAATTAGAAATAAAGGATTAAAGCGCAAAAACATGTAAAAATCTTGGAGCACAAGTAAAACACGTCAATCACTCTCAACTGAGAACTCTCTCTATAAAACATGGCTCAGACAGTTGTAGAGTTTTTAAAACTAGCCTCATCGCTTTTACCAGAATTTGATGGAAAGGCAGAAAACCTACAAAGCTTCTTGGATGCATTAAATCTAATAGATTCCTTAAAAGGCACCCATGAACTAACTGCTGTAAGCATTATCAAGACGAAACTTAAAAGCCACGCTAGAAATTTGATAATTAATGAGCAGACAATTCTTGCCATTATTAATCAATTGTCCAAAGTTGTAAAAGGAGAATCTGTAGAAGTTATATGTGCAAAATTCCTTAATCTGCAGCAAAAGAGCAAAACTGCAAATCAGTATACCCAAGAGGTAGAAATATTGACCCAGTCTCTTGAAGGAGCTTATATCAATGATGGTTTAAGCCCGGAACTAGCTAACAAATACAGCTTGACATTAGCTGTAAAGGCCATGACGCAAAATTGCCCAAATGATAAAGTTAGACTTACGCAGGCTGGCACATTCAGTAACATGAATGATGCTTTATCGAAATTTGTCAATAGTTGCACAGAGGCAACAGGACATTCGAACACTGTCCTGTTTTTTCGGCAACGACATAACAGGGGCAACCGTGGAAATCACCGTGGAAGAGGTAATAGCCACAATATTGGTTACCGCAATTTCAATAACAACAATAGAGGATGAGGCCAAAATAGAGAAAACTCTAGAGGCCGTGGCAACTCGAATCGAGGCCACAACAATAACAATAATAATGTCAGATTAGCCCAGAATAACTCGGGCAACTCTCAACACCCTTTAGATACGCAACAATAGAGAACAACACCATCAATCTCGATCTAAATATATTTTTATCATTTAATCAGGAAAAAAAGGTTTTTTTTTTAATAGATACAGATGCAGACATTTCAATTTTGAAAGAAAATTGTCATTTTTTCAATGACATTCAAAATGACAATATAATCAATATTCAAGGCATAAGCCAAGTTATAAAATCTAAAGGCTTAACCTCAATTGAGATACAGACAGATCAATATATAATTCCACACACTTTCTATATAATAGATCTGCATTTCGGAACACCATGCCACGGAATAATAGGGATTGATTTTATACAAAAATTTAATTCTCAATATTATTGCCAGCAAGATTTCAAGTTGTCCGCATAATCACTATAGCCTGAAGTGAAGATTGTGTACTTATTCCGAACCAGGATTTTTCAAGTTGGTATTTACGTTGCAAAGAGCACTCTAGAATATCAGAATATATCAGAAAAGTTACGATACCATAACTGTGATAGTGTAAACTTCACATAGTGATACCCGATTCCGTTAAAAAGGAATTCAAAAAGATGATAATAGAGAGAATAAAGGTGTTTCCAACCATTAACGAGGAATTACTATTTAACACCTTAGTTGTCGCCACAGTCCTTACGGTAGACAACAAGTTAACAAATAACCCCTTAGTTGCTGAAGCTAGGTTGGCTTGCGGCCATGAGCGTGTTATTTAGAGTTATGCTTCAATTCATTGTCTTTAGCTTAAGCTGCACCAATATTGTAGTTGCCATTTAGTTCTGTTCATACTTTTAAGAAACACACTGCCTATTCAACACATTACTCCGGTATTGTCGAATTTTACATAATATTGGTTTATTGCTGCGCTATAAGGCCAGCGTTTGGAAAACTTCAGCCCACAAACTTAGACTCTAGCATTCCGTAATTGGAATGTCCCTGGAGGACTAAATCTTCGGAGACCCACCACTGGACTGCCCCCGAATTCCTGCAATTTCGCCAGCGACGACGACACCTAAAGGAATTGACGACTCACGCAGGAAATTGCGTAATTTGTATAGCCGATGCGCATTGAAATATGTTTGAAACGTGTAAAATTGTTTGTGTGTGTTTTTTGAATAGCTCGGAGCTAGGTACAGTTACACAAAAAATATTAATCTCAAATTACAATTAAATGAGCTCAATTTTCAACCCAAACTTGAAATATTTTTAAAAAAGAGAGGAAATAAAAATTTGATGTAATATCTGCGGCAATTTAGTAAGGTCCATGCATACGTAGCTCTGTCCAACCGGCATCTCGGTTTTGATTCTGGAATTAGAGATGTTTCAGTTAGTTAGTACAGTGTTTATCTGGGTAAATGTGTATTACTTGTCGGCCTCTTCAGCTAGACTTCCAATAAAGATAACATAGCCCTTCACCTTAGGTTCACCGCAGGTAAGAGACAGAGTTAGATCCTTTGGTAATATGCGATATCGCGCTAGATTAGCATCGCTAAGAACAACGACCATGCCATTGTCGTATTTCAACTCTGCGCCCAAAGTAGTGCAAGCCTCTCGTGCCGCTTTTACAGTGCTATCGCCGGACCAACAAAATTGTGAATGAGCGCGCATCATACGTATTATATCAAAGCGCTCCTTGTCGTTTTTAGGGACACTACCCACGTTGACGAAGGGCAAATCCCAGCCTTCGCCGCTATGGCCAACAATATCATAAACAATTTTTTTTTCGTAGCCTTCAAATGCTTGTATGACCATTAATACCGCCTCTAATTCACGGTCCAACCGTCCATCATAGCCATTAAACCTTGGGAAAAGTCGTTAAGTAAAAAGCACAGCCATGGTTTAATCGTGTAATACCTACCTGTACATAGATCCTGAGACATCAACCACAAGCCTAAGTCGATTAGGTTTTGTCTGAGCATAATCCGCCCAGGGATTTGCCTCGCTTCGTCGCTTGTAAATGTTTTTTTCTCCGGTGATGCCTTCGATGAGACGCGTGTCATCTAGCTCGCCTTGAGTTTGGTACTTTTGCCACTGACGTTCTTTACTCTTAGTCTGCATAGCCTCCAAAATGGCCCTTAACTGCTGTACTGGCTTGCGGGTTGGCTCTATTAATTGCGCATACAAACGATGATCGTGGGCGGACATTTTGATCTCTTGTAGTTTCTGCTCAAAGGCTTTTCGATTCATTTCACGTGCAGCACGTTTTATTTTCTCGGGAATATCAGCTTTCTCATCGTCGCTCAATTGGTACACGTTATGCCCCTTGTCCAGGCGAAATGGTCCACCTTTGCCGCCTAGACCTTCTGTATCCCGTCCACCGGTACCACCCGCCCACGTATTGCCACCTACATGTGGCTCATTTTTTGGATCAAATTTACCAAGTTTGGATCCTGACACATCCAGCCCGCTGTATTGTTGGATGCTTAACTGGAGCTGCCGTTGATTGCGTAGTGACTGCAATTCGTCCGTTGCATATGCCTCGATTAACATACCATGTTTAGTCAACACGTGGGTGACCTGCTGCAATGCCTCCGGCTGGTAGCGATCAAAGTCTAGCACGTTTCCTATTAACTCGCACATGTCGTCTTGTGGATAACGCTCTAAATGTCTTACAATGCTCACAACTTCCCGCGTAGAGTACGGATAATTAAGAAGCCCCTCGTCCGCCAGAGTACGAAGCTCACCAAATGCATTTACTAACATTCTGAGCGTTTTATTGGGCACAGTTGGTCCATAGCGCTTCAGAAGGTACATCTCCGAATCGGGTGTGGGATTTTCTATGGCATGGCAACTAAAGACATCGCCCACCGCCGCAAAGAAATCGTTACCTAAAAACGGAAACCCCGGCCGGTTTGCTAGCACAATCAGTCGAAAGTCACCGTGAGTCTCGATGCAATTGGGTGTCGTTGCACTAGTCCCGTGTGGCAAAATCCGACGCCCATCAGAAAGCAGCATCTCACCGCTCTCGCCTAAAGTGCGGAGAATGCAGGAAACATTAAGCGGAGCTTTGTCCGCCTCGTCTATAACGAGTGTATGACCTGTTTTTACAGCTTTCACCAAAACGCTGTCTTCAAAGACCACTTTGCCATCGCGTAGAGTCGATTGTACTGTTAGGCTGTGTACTGTTGTATCCCTATGTAGCTGTAAATATTCGCGTGGCCGGCGCATGAGCTCTAGTAAACGATCGATGAGCTTGTTTTTGCCTACGCCCTGATTACCTACCAACAGCAAATGCTCACCGATTAGATAGTCCTGCAGAAGGCGCTCTAGCAGCATAACGTGTTGTGGCATTTCGTAAAACAGGGTGCTAGGCACCTTCGATTGCTGCTCCAGTGATGTCTCTGGCAACTGCATCAGAGTTTCGCCAATGAGTAGTTTGTTGTTCACTACGCTGATTTGTTTTTGGTTCCAGTCGCAGGTTTGACCTATATTACAACTTAATTCAATTCCTGCTTGCTTTATAGCCTGCTCAAGGGCCGAACGCGTAAGTGAAGGCATAAACTTAATCAGAAATATATCCTGCAGAATTTCACAAACATAGTTTGGGTTGCTCGATGGGTATGCCTTTAGGCGTCGGCCCACCTTTAGCAGTCGACGTGTTGATAGCCTATCGGCTAGACCGTGAAGTAATGGATTTTTTGAGCTACGTAAGAGTTGTGCTAGTGTTAGAAGCTGCAGCATCTCAGGCGGCACAAGGCCGCATAACTTCATTAATAATTCTTGCTCTTCACTCTGCTGAAGTGGCCGCAACTCCTGATAGAGAAACATGCCTAACAATTCCGGTGTCAGCCAGTTAGGCTTATTATCACCGGGATTTGGCAGCTCCCCTAAAGCTACGATGCGAAAAGAATCGGGTATAGGTAACACATTTCGTTCAGTAAGCTGACGTGTGTTAAATCCCTGCCGCAGAAGCTCCTGGTAGCGATCTTGACGAAGTAAAGTTGTGCCATCACATAACTGTAACTCGCGATCATGGACTATTCTGGGGGCAGTATAAAAAAAAAAAAACAAATTAAACAATCTTATAGTAATGTTGGCATACAATAATATAAATTAAATAATGTTGTCAGTACTCACAAAGCGAAAAAAAAACAAGTTTATTAACAGCGATCTACTTTTGCTCGACCTAGTATATAATGTTTATGATAACAAATGCAAACGCGCTTGGAGTGGCCAATATATTTTTAAAAGGAGCCATTTGTTATCTTTAATATTTTAAAGGTAATCTTGTAAATGGTCATTTAAATGGTTGTAGTGTGTATATGCCTTAAAAGAACACCCTATATTCAAATATAAAGTATGCGGCATTTTGTCGCATACAATAACAATTATACATTAAACAAGTCCAGACCCAGTTTTTATAATGACTAAAGACAATTCCAAAACCGAAGTCAATCAGCGCTGACGTGCTTATGTTGTTATTGAAATACATTTTATACATTTTTATACATGGCGACCGTGACTAAGGTCCAAATAGACCTGCACATGGAACAACAACAGCAGCAACGGCAGTACCAACAACAATAACAGCAGCAACGCCAGTAACAAAAACAACAACAGCAGCACCGGCAATACCTGCAAAAACAACACCAATAATTACAACAAATGCGTCGAGAAAACACAAAGTATACTGAGTGGTCGTAGTACGCTTTTAAATGGGGAAAATATCAGTGTTCCATTTTGCGGTTAATGCTTGGAGATGGAGACGACACAGTTAGCAACATAGACCACAATGAACAGAATTCAATTAAGACGCGACTGAATGTATGTGTATACATGAATACAGAAGTTCTTGCAATTTCCGCTATCTGCCGCAAACACGTCCCTTGTCAATATTTAATATTGACAATAATAATAACTTATGTGGTTCTTAACCAATATTAATTAAATCATCAGAAGATCTTATTCTGCAATAGAATACTTGCACAGTCTTAAAAAGATAATTGGATTAAAATTATGGTTTAAATTGGTGGAGTCTTTTATTTAAGTTATTTATTTGATTTATAGCTACGGAAAGAAATAGGGTCGTAGCGATACACTATATTTTGGAAGGTAGATGTCAAACTTGGTGACTGGGGCTTTAGGATTTGCTCAAAAACAGGATTACGGTAACGATTTTTATCGATTGCTTGATAACTTGTCGAGGTATCTATTATTGGAAACAACAGCGCGAGCACTAGCAGGACCTACGTTAAAAAATTTATGTTAAAGACTTGAGATCATTGCGTTCATACATACGGACGGACGGACAGATAGACGGCTAGATCCACTCGACTATAATTGCTGATCAAAAACAGATATAATTCATGGGGTCGGAAACACATTTGCGCAAGTACATTATACCCCTTTTACTCATTTTTAATGGTTTCAGGGTATATGAAGGAGTAATATAGATTAAGCGATTATGACGAAACTGTAATTAAGACAAATGTATAAGTTAACATAGAAAAACAATAAGCGACTAAATTGGTCACTAGTCACTATGATGAAATGTAGTAGTGCCTTTGGCCACTGACTACACTGACCGAGGCCGGCGTTGCGGCATAGCTTAGGGCTTGCTAGTATCGTCATATATTTGTCAAATTAGTCTTAAACATATCTCGCGGTGACATCGTCAGTGTAGCCGAGCATAATAAATAAATTTAGCTCATTAAAAGAACCTTTTGAAGGCACGAGTAATATGAAATAGACAAAGGGTTTGCCACGTCGATGCGAAATTCTTGCATTTTTGCTCGTATTGCCACGTCGATGCGAAATTCTTGCATTTTTGCTCGTTATGTCTATTTCATATTACTCGTGCCATCAAAAGGGTAGAAATGCCTCAGCATTTGGGACAAATTGAATTTGTGCGCAGTTTTGCTTGTCGGACACATACACACACACATTTAAACGATCCCTAAACATAAAGAGAGAGAATTGAGAGCTAAAAGTAAGTGCGAGCGAGATACAAATTAACTGCGTTGCCGTTCTATCACACAAATCATATGGAAGAGAGTGCGCCAAGCACTTTCCTGTAAAGTAAGCGGTTCAAAAATACATCATATACATATATACCTTACTCCCTTACTCGAGTTTGGACCAGATGCCTCCGATACTTTTTGTGCCTACTTTCCTGTACTCATGTCCAGTCTATATGTTGTTTGGCTATAAATCAAGTTAATAACCCAACTTGTATTGCCCACCAATTTAAGCTACAATATTAACGCAATTTACTTTATGAGAATACACAAATATTGTATGGAACAATAAGATATACTGTAGAAATTTTCTTGAAGATAAGTTAAGAAACATGTGTTTACGGCACTAGCGCAAATTCAAAGTATATCTGTATACATGTCCACACAAACATTCATGCGCGTCTGCTTCGAATTCATCAACAGCATTGCAATTGCGATTGTATTGTTTTTTGTGCTACTATTTTAATTCGTTTTTTCTCAATAAGATTGAATTATTGGTGTGGCTGTTGAGTAGAAGCGGTGGCAAGTGGTGTTGTCTGTCGCGAGTTCGAGACCTACCGAGGAAACTATTAATTTTATACCCTGAACCCATTAAAAATGGGAAAAAGGGGTATATTGTATTTGTGCAAAATGTAAATGTATATTATATATATCGCCGACCCCATACAGTATATGTTGCATCTTTATTATTATTTCAACATTATAAATCCATCAGTACCATTTAAGTACGACCTCTAATGAAATGTATCATCGCTAATAAAAGATCTTCTCTATGCCTGTTATTCTCTTCTTCAATCCTCTTCCTACTTGCGACTTCGGTCTCAAAATAACACGTGGTTTTGCGAGCCCAACAGTGCATTAGAGCATTAGAGCGAGAGAAATATAGTCTTTTGACTCGGAGACGTCGGGAAGACATGTGCCAATACTGTAATTTATTATAGTTGCTTATAATATTTACTAATTCATACAAATAGTAAAAGAAAGTAGAATGACATGTGAGAAATAATTCAAATACCAAAAACACAACAATGTTCTGCATTCCTATTTGCGCTTATGCAGTGAACAGCGGTAAATTTACAGTAAGTTTTGCCTTGCACATGCTTTGTTCTACGAATTTGACTTTGTATGAACTGAAAATTTATTTAGACACTCTTGAAAATGCCAGGCAGGATCTTATCGTTTGAGATGGTCCAGTTTGTGTATTTTAATCACCAATTGGGTAAAAGTGCGCAGGAATTATCAGAAATGTTTTTTGTAACCCGCAAGACCATTTTCAATATTATAAATCGCGCTGAAAACGAGGGAAGATTGGAGCCAAAGAAAGAAGCCGGTCAGAAGCAAAAAATAAATAAACGAGCCGAGCGCGCATTGGTAAAAAAAACTGGACCAAAATCCAATGCTTTCGACGATAACTCTTGCAATATAATTGAAGGAAGAGTTGGATGTGGATGTATCCCATGAAACCGTACGTCAGGCCATACTACATGAGTACAAACCAAGAGCTACTCGCAAGAAACCAATGCTCTCTGATGTTAATGTTTGAAAACGATTGTCCTTTGCCACAATGTACCATAATCAACCTGCCGAATATTGGGATGAGATCATCTGCGATGAGACGAGAGTTATGTTATATTATAATGATGAATGAATATTATGATTGAATAACAATTGTTTGACAATGCAAAAACCGACTAGTTTTTGTTTTTGTATTTATTCTTAAATAGATTTTTTTTCTATCACTATTTTTATGAATCCTGTTAGCAAATACTATAAGAAACTAAAATAAATTTAAAACAATATGTTAACAATATTAAAACTATTAACTTTTGCAAATAAACAAATGTTATCTTCATGCGTCAGATTTCAAAAAGCCTTTTGATTTAACCACCGATGCGCAAATGGCCCCGGGACTGTTTTATCCCAATAACCATGATTTCCAAAAAGAATGCGAACTAAACTATGCTTCAAATGAAAGAGAACTACTAGCCATCGTATGGGTTCTGGGTAAGCTACAGAACATCTTATAAGTATATATACATACATGGTACAAAAGAAATAAAGATGTTCCCTGACCATCAACCTCTCAACTATACGGTCTCGGACAGAAATATGAATAAGTACATAGACGGACGTACATAGACGAAAGCGTACATAGACGAACACGACGCCAAAATGTTCTACAAACCAGGCAAAGAAAGATAATTTTGTTGCAGTTGCCTACACGGCAGAACATAAGTGCTCTACAAAACGAATCTGTCAGATGCTGCAACCATTCACAGCGAAATGTCAGTAACCTGTACGGTCGAAACTACAGACAAGCCTCTAAATTGCTTCAAGAATCAAATAATCCGGCATCAAGGCTCGCCACTTAATCAGCTTCACTAAAAAAACTGCCTTCGAGACGCTTAAAGAGGTTATTAAGCCAGGCGTTGTATAAACAATACATTGCGATTTAGCAACTCTAACTAGTTTTCAGCACACTATAGTGTTAAACTTCCCTGAAACCAAATTTTAGCAGTGCAAGAATGTCGTATCAGACATCACAGACAAAAACGAACAGGTCGAAATAATGACTGCCGAACACAGCCGTACCAATCGAGCCGCACAAGAAAACATCAAACAAATCAGCAAGTTGGACAATGAAGTGGATGTAAATTGCAGGGTTTGCACTAAAGCAAAATATGACAGACATCCTAACAAAAATTGGGATAACAGCAATTACTTCATATGCCAGCGAAATGCTGCACATTGATATTTTTTCCACGGACAAGAAAAAATTTCTAACTTGCATCGTCAAGTTTTTAAAATGAATGCAGGGACGTGCAGCCAGTGGCGTCGCGAACAATAGTCGACCCAAAAACACCCATGGTTCAATTGGTGAATTTATTCCCAAACATTAAAACAATATATTGCGATAACGAGGCTCCATTCAACTCGGATATAACCAATTTTGATTAAAGGACTGTAATAATATAAGATAATTATGGAAAGATGTAAGAGATTACAATACTTTTAATAAATCACAAGAGGTTCTAGTCGGGAGCTCCCGACTAGGGGATACCCTGAACCCTCTTCTTCCAACATCAAATGCATATATATATTCTATTTTAGAAGCTAGATGTCAAGTTTGGTGACTCTAGCTCTTATTATTTACCAAAATTTCCTACAAACAGGATATCGATATCGATTTTTATCGATTGCTGGGAAACGGAGTAAGTTATCGATTATCGGAAACAAACTCGATCTGCGTAGGCACTAGGAGCACCTACATCTAAAATCTCTATCTCAAGTCTCTAGCTCTTATAGGTTTTGAGATCCTTGCGTTCATACACACGGACGGACGGACGGACAGACAGACGGACATGGCTAGATTGACTCGGCTATTGATGCTGATCAAGAATATATATACTTTATGGGGTCGGAGAAGCTTACTTTTACATACATTTGGATTTTGCACAAATACAATATTCCCTTATACCCATTTTTAATGGGTTCAGGGTATAAAAATAAGATTGAGTAGGTACACCACGCAACGACCTGTAAGCGATGCGTACACGTGAAGTAATGAACAACATATAGTAATCTATTCATAAAATTAACAACAATGCACCGAGAAACTCATTGATAAAAAAATGAGACAGAAGGCCGATGATTTAATTGAAGACCGAACCTTTTCTTTTTAGCAAGTTTGGTCAACCTATATTGAAAAACAAAAAAGTTTTCTATATAACAACTTAATTTTCGACCGATTGGTCCTTTCAGCTATGTGATATAGTGGTCCGATGTTGAGGGGATGTTGCAAATATATGAGAAGCATGTCGATACTAGCTATACCTTTTACGTTTCTCAAATAAAGAAAGGACAATTCAGAGGGATTGTGACGTAGTCATGATTTGTTTAGCAAAAGTTAGTAGCAACATATCCTTCGACAACGTTCCGCCACACAAAACGCATTGTAACCGATACAAACAGAAAGAAATAGTTGTCACGGAGCATAATAGAGCCCACCGGCCACTCAAGAAAATGTAAAACAGAATTTTTTCATAAGATAACCCAACTAGAAAACGAAGTCGGTACAAATTGGAAAATTTGTCAGAGGGCGAAATATGATCGTCACCCTTAGAAACAAGTACTTGAAGAAATAGCTATTGTTATATGCAGGTGAAATATTACCTATCAACTAACTGCAAACAGCATTCATCTCCCTTAGAGCTTGACGCAGAATTAGCAGATAATGCCCTTAAAGCATAGTGAAATCAAATAAAAGACAAGAATATAAGCTTACACTCAGGATCTGGACTATCCTACTTTTTGTCACAATGACAACGGTCAAATTGACTGACTACCCGAACGCGAACTACATCTCGTTTATGGATGTAGACACGATAATTGGAAAACGCTTTCAAAATGTAAAGCACTCAACTAACTAACAATGGACGCGGAAATGAGCAATGAAGCAAAGAAATTTACGACTTTAAAAGGCTCAAAATGACACAAAAGGAGCTAATTGAATTTGAAAATAGACAGGTAAACCTCAATACAAAAACTTAATAACCGTTAAATTAACTAACAGACGCAGTAAACATTCTAACAAAAAATTAAAAAAATTACAAATAAATACAGAACACATACGAAACAATGCTCTCAAGAAATAGGATATTGATTTAGGAACTTAAAACTCTAATGCTAGCCGTTACAGTCACAAATATTGGAATTGTTAACCCGGAAATATTAGACCCCAATGATTAATAAAACATAATCAAAGAGCATTTTTCGATCATAACCATACTGACTTCACGGAAGAAGCCCAATTAAAAGTTCTATTATATACCAATTTTACACTTAATAATTAATTACCCTAAGCTAAGTTTAATTTGTAAGAGAATACTTATACCCTGTACATCACAATAACAGAACCTTCAACCTTGCCGACGAAAAAACATCATAGCTCACTGCGTTAATGCAATATTACCAATTGGAAACTGCAGAAAGGTTTCAAGGCGTCCGAGGACGTTTCTCAACTAAGCAAGGGAGGAGTTAACATGATTACCAACAAAAGAGCAGTGTCACTAACCAATCACGCAAAAGTGGCGTGTTGCGGTGCACCTTCAGTGGCTTTTGCGGGCGCTGCCGGCCGATGTACGACATCATGCTCGAGGCACAATCAGCGATTTCAGGAGTTGAATTTTGGACAAGATATCATTCGGTACATATGCAAACATATGGCCGTCTTTTTTTGAATTCTACAAAAATTTGAATTATTTAAATTCGGGTTTTTCGTTCTTGATATGGATGTAGATTATTTAGTGATGGAAAATGGTTCGCTCGGTTGAAGTTAGTTGTAAGTTCGCAGTAGGAACTTTGCTTTTAAATTTATATTCAAGCAAACAAGCACCTGCATTTAGTGTTGGTAGAAGGTTCAGGGTATCCCCTAGTCGGGAGTTCCAGACACTTCAACTAGTTTTTTGTCAGGTTTAAAAACAAAACTCATGTATGATTCCTGCATATGATTAAGATTTGAATAAGACTTCGCGTAAGCAAATCTAAATAAGTTGACAGAAAGAACGAATTTGTTTGAACTTTTGTAAACTGTCGGCCACGGGAACACAAGCACCGTTAAATGTTTAAGTGTGGCAATGATACCCTTACCTTTATGGGTATATTTGCTGTGAACACAGCTGATCGCCAAATCTTAATTAAAACTAAATCAGTTTAAAGAGTCCTGCTCTTATTTAAAGAACAATTTTGACGCCCTTGTAAATAAAGAACAAATAATGTTTTGCAATCGCAATCGTGAACATGACCTAAATCAAACTGAATATGTACGATTAAACGAGCTCGGTTTGATCGCTTCGCATTTTATATACCCTAAATTTAGGGTATCTAAGCAACGACCAAAAATCGATATCGCCACTCTCCGCCACCAATTGGAAATACCCACCAATGTAATTCATAATTTTAATGATAAACAGATTTTATAGAATTACATTGAATACATATCACCTCTAGTAAAAGTTATTAAATATTAAAGACAAAACACTATAAGAAAATAGTCGATTTACTCATCTTAGTAAATGAATCAAAGTGAAAATTGACTTAATAAATTTTCAATATCTTCTGCGGTACCATTTTATAGTTTAATGAATTTTACTATTTTGGGCATGGTGAAAATAAATATAATTTTGTCATGAAGGATACATCGTATCTCGCAAAGTATATATATATTCTAGATCAGCATCAACAGTCGAGTTAATATAGCTGATTTCTTCCGTTCGTCTGTCTGTTTCTATGCGAAGTAGTCTCTAAGTTCTAATGCTATGTCTTAAAACTTTGCATAGGATCGTGTTTCTGTTGCACACAGTAGATATGTTGGGTACCATTATATCATATAATTGCCATAGGAACAGTCAAAAAGTAGGTTTTGTGTAAAAATTGTTTTTGTTCATTAAGATATTTTATCCAAACTTGGAATTTATTAGTTTCACTTTGCGCCTTTTATATATGCATAATCTTAGCAACATGGGATCACTTTACCATATAGCAGCCATAGGAACGATCGGTCGAAAATTTATGAATAACATTCTTGTATTTCAACAAATCTTCACAAAACATTGCATTTATAAGTTTTACCACAGACAGCCTAAGAACTATGACGAGTAACGCCCATACATTTCAATGCACCGCAAACTTTGTAGCCTGGCTTTTCATCTGGCTTTTCGCACTTTAAACGACACGTCAACCGACTGGCTTTCCAAAACCACGCGAACGAATGCGGAAAGCGCAGCTTGTTGTTACTGACACGAGCAACGAAGTCAGTCGCCATCCTGCCTCTAGTAAAGCATGATGGAAAACCAGTATTTTTAAGTCGATGCTACTATTAGATAATTTATATAATTCAATCAATTATATTATTAAAATTATTTCATATTTAAAATAATAAGATTTCATTAAGATCGGTTTTTGTTTTGTTTTTTGGTATTTTTACTACGCACGTGTTTGCGAAGCAAATTCAAGAATTTCTGTTTACATATACATGTACACACACACACATTCATGCGCGTATACTTAGAATTCTATCAACAACATTTTAATTGCGATTGTATTGTTTTCTGTGCTGCTATTAAAATTTTTTTTCTCACTGAGACTTAATTATTGGTTGTTGGCTGTTGAGTAGAGGCGGTGGCATGTGGTGTGGTCTGTCGCGAGTTCAAGCACTGCAGAGGAAACTACTTTTTATTTATTTTTTTTGCTGCTGTGGCTGTTAAGACGGCAGCAAGTAGTGTTACTACTAAAGCAAAAGAACGCGTAGCGCGAGCTGCATTTGGTGTTGGAATAAGAGAGTTCAGGGTATCCCTTAGTCGGGAGATCCCGACTAGAACCTCTTACTTGTTAATGACTGACTTATTGACGATGAACGCTTAGCCCAATCTGTAATATCTGAGAAACTATTGGAAACCCACTTTCAAATCTTTGTTCAAGTTCTTTTGGAATGTGTGTCCTACTTTTTTTAAAATCTACTCATCTTAAACGGATTATGCGAATCATAGGTAGTATAAACGAGAGTTTATTTTTCGGCTTTAATATTTAAAGTGTGAACTTTAGGGGTAAATGGGCGGAAAATATTGATTTAATTCGTCTGTTCAAAACGTTTATACAGACGGACGAGCAGCTTGTTGGAAAGCTATATTGACTTGATTATTGTTGCTCATGACTGGCTTTAATACCTTATTGGCTCTATGGTTCATCCAAGTGCCAACTGCGAACTGTGAATACGGGGAAACGGACGAGTTGAAAGGACATCCAAATCGGTGTCTTCAACCATATAATGTTATGTTGAATGTTATATTATATATTTAGGAAATAGTTTTTTGACATCTACCTTTGCAGTACTACAGCTGTGCTTTTGTGTAGTCTGTGAAGGCCATTAAGTACTGCCACCGATCCGGTTTTTGCTGCTCGGACCAATGGGGAATCCCGCCAAATGGTGTCACCTTCTACGTTGGTAATGCGTTGCTGTAAAAGATCCGACGATGTCATATCCTCATAGAGCATCATAAGTTCAGACGATTGATGCAGTAGGCGCAAAAGCTGTTTTGTCAGTGTTAGTTTTCCAACACCCCTTTCGCCCAGCAGACAGACATCTCCAACTGCATAGGATTGCACTAGAGTAGCCAGTACTTGTCGTTGATGTGGTAGATCCACAAAGTTGCTGTTTAAAGGCGCAGTTGATCCACAAGGCATGCGTAAGTGTACCTCGTCCAGATACACGTCAACAAAGTCATCTTGAGCCTGGCTGCTTATACGATGTACACTATGCGTGGACATGTGCTGAAGCGACATACTAGTAAACAGTTCCTTAACACGTTTCTGCTGATCTGGCATTAGCACGGATTGAAACGGATACAAGACTTGTAAGACATCCTGCAAGGTTAGTTTTGGATTCGCTCGCTGAGGGTAAATGTAAAAATATACTCAATTGACATGATGTGAGTAAAGCCTGTGATTTACCATCATCTTAACGGCTAGTCGAAGATTATGTAATGGAAAATCTGGTAGTTGGAGCGCTTTACCAGCTGTTTGAAGTGTTAACGCACAGGTAAGTAACTGTTTAAGCCGTGGGGCAGGCACAATGGGAGTTATCTGCTGTAGCTCCTCGTACAACTCCTGAAAAGTGTATGGTAATATGTTGCGCGACTGAAAACGCGACCTTAGCGGAGGATCAAGTGGAGTGCCTCTATATATCTGTATGGGAAGTCCAAGTGCCACTATACGAAAGTGTTCCGAGACCCTTAGTAAGCCCCAGTCATCAAGTTGTCGCTGACTGTGCTTCTGAAAGTTGGGATGGGTATTGGAGTTGTATTAAAAGTTGACTTGATCCACACACACCTTTAGCAACTTATCGTATTGTTCTGGTGCCATTAGAAATTTACCACTTTCTAGGTGCATTTCACGATTCTCTAGAAGATTGTTGAGCACCGGCAAAACATTGCGTTCGGCATGTTCAATGCCGTCCAGCACCAGCACTCGGCCGTAAAGTGCAGCGCGTACTGCGGCCTGATAATGGTATTGGGCAGATTTGCTCAGAATCTCACGACGTTCCTTTAGATCGCTTTCGGTTGTATCGCGAGTAAGCGCCACATATTCAAGTTCACGTTCCGTAATTTCCAAAAACTGCATGACCAGTTGTCGCCTCAGTGGCCCTGGTCCACCCAACAGAAACATGTTTTGTTTAAGTGAATCTTTCTGCAGCATCCACCGCAGATGGTGAAGTGCTGTTTGAGCCAACTGGACCGTCCCATCTTGTGCGTAATTTACTATAAATGTAGACATATTGTAGATGTCGGTAATATAAATTTGATATGTTAGTGATTACGAAGCTTTACTATATTTCTGGGGCACCAAATGTACGTTCTTGGGCTTTGTTATTTGCGCGGTTACATCGCCAATAGTTATTTGTTTTCCATCTACATTTTTACATTCCTTGACCGCTATTGCACAGCCTCTTGTCCAGGCAGTCTCTTGGAGCCTATGACGCAATATGCATCCGTCACGTGATAGAAGATTCAATAGCATGGCGATCTTTTTTCAGAGAAGGCTATTCTTCGTTTTATTCCCACCTGATGAAATAACGAACAAATGATTCAAGGTGGAGTATTAGCATTTTACAAGAATTCCATTTCAGGCAGCGGAGCCTAATTATTGCTTAGTTTATTAATTGTCCGACACTAGGAATCATCGTCAACGCTTGGAGATGGCCAAATGAGTATCTAACTATCGATGACTAGTCATTATAATTATTGAATATTTGAGTTGGCACAGTTTCTTTTTTGGTATTTCATATATAAGAAATTAATAGAAATAATACAATTGCAATGGTTTTTGCAAAGTTAATCATAAACGTAAAAGTTTGTTAAAGTTGAATATAGTATAATCAATATAATACATTATATATTAAATATTAAGAATAATAGTAATATCTTCTATATTAAAAAGGTAATATTACCTGAGGGACTCCACTAACCATAGAATGCATAGACAAACCAAACAGCCTTTTCATCGGATAACGATAAATTGCAACAAGGGAATCCCGAGGGTGCCTGCGACCATTTAAGTGTGCCCAGGCAGAGTAAGATTGCTGAGAGTGGCAGCCGAACGCCGGCCTCGAAAGCCGAACGTTCAGCCGCATCTCGCTCAGCGCACGACGTCGCTGAGGCTGATGCTTTTTCTTAATATATGTATGTATGCTAGTTTTAAATCCTAACAGCCCAAAAACATATGTGTGTATGCATGTATGCTGATTGGTGATCAACAGCCGAAATCGCAAGATCTAGAAATCTATCCCTCGTTAAAGGAAATAGGGGTAAGACATTTGTTTAATAAAACTTCGGGCTTAATTAATATCTATATAGTTTTGTCGTTATCGACATACTAACCGAAAGCCGAAAAGGAAATTTCGTTTATTAAACCTTTGTCCCGCAATTTCCATTCAAGAGCGGGGGACTTCGCTAAAAGCATATCAAATAAATTTTTAAAAATATCTGAGATATATATCTACGTCGAGACATATTTTGATTTAAGGGATTATTTATTTGTGGTTGCTTTAAATTCTGTTTGCTTATTTTGGTTTAAATAGGTTTCGTTTTTCGGAGGGTGTTGTAAAAAATTGTGGCTTTGCTTATTGTTAGTTGTGTTATTTGGGATAAATTAAGGTTTAGTACTTTGTGTAAACTTTATATCATTGTTTATTTTGATTATTATTATTGTTGTTATAATAACTTTCCTCATAGTAGCCCTCCATTTGTGCTACTTTTTTAAATTTTGGAATAGTAAATGTCTCGTATCTCTCGAGTGACATAAAGAGTCTATCTGGTATATTTTTATGTATTAACTTTTTTACATTGTTATTCATAGTATTTTTATATAATCTGGAATTATCTAACTTCCCTTCCAATTCTAATTTATCAGGTATAATTATTATCTTAGCCTCTACCTCAATACAAAATTTACGTAAATTGCGGATATCTGGAGCTCAAACGCCCCGAATATGATACTTTGTTGTCGTTCATTGTGAGTAGAGTAAAGTTAAAGCATCCTTCCATCCACCATCTCTCTTATAAATGGACCCAGTGTTATAGGATCTCCTTCAAAGGCTGGCACCTTCCGTATTTGTTGAAGTAATTGGTTTAAATTTTGGTCGTTTAATTTATTCATTGCTGGAAGTGCAGCAACTTGAAAACCTTTTGGTTGTTCCATTTTTTCATCATTTTGGGTATCAAGGTTATGAGCGACGAAATTCACTTTGTGTTACAACGACCGAATTGGATTTATACGTTATTGTTCAGACACGTTTAGTTTCTTTGCGGGTAGCGAATTTCAGAATTGAAATATGTTCGATTTAGTTGTTATACTGTGCACAATTACACTTGTTGATCAGAGAAGACACCAGTTGTATGGATAAGCCTCTCTTAAATTGATCGTATCACTCACGAACTTTTATTTATCTCGTTTCACAGAATGTTACGCTATCCTACCGGCTGCGCCAATAACGTAGTTATAAGTTTGAAAATAAAAAGACTTTATTTCACGAGTTTGAATTTGTATCAGTTTATTATGTTGAATATCTGGATTAAGACTGAAGAACAAAAATTGGCTTACGCTATATATAAAGCTTAATAATAATTGCAGTACGTGACTCTTTGCAAAATTACAACAGCTGCAGCTTGTTTATGTTAGCGGCTTTCTGTTGATGCGTTTTTGTTTACAAATTATTCTTGACATTATTTGAGCTTGGCTGCAGAAGGCATGCTAATGTTATGATTATTCAATTTGTAAACATACAGTGGGTTATATCATTACAATGCAGCTTATAGATAACAGTGGTTCAAAATTCTGTTGTTGTAAATATGTTACTAAATATATCTTAATTTGAGCGATTGACTCCCCACCCATCCATGCACGTATATACGCATGTACTACCGCGCTGATAAAATGGTATGTAGGTGTACTATATATATAAATGACATTAATTAAATCGCTTGAATAAATTTAGCCTGCCTAATGAGCTCTCTGGGGTGCTAAGGGCGAAGTAAGTGAATGATGAATTTATATAGGTATGTATATATATAAATTAGAGCATTTATAAATGCAGTTTTATATGTTTTGCTTATTTGCATTCACAAATGCAGTTAAGTTAACCAAGAACGGTAATTTATGGAAAGGAGCGGTACGTTTCGTTTAATTCATATCCAAACTTAGACTAATGAAAAACTATTTTGGTTATAATAAGCAAGGTTAGCCTGCATCGCCGTCGCTGCCACGGAGCCGCCGTCGCTGTTGCAGAGTCGCCGTCGCTGTCACCAAAAGTGCGGCGTTAGCGCTTCGTGTGTCGTGTCAGATGACCGTCGTGGCCGGCAACATAGTTGCGACATATCCGCTGCGATCATGACTCTGGTCATTGGCTTCCCCAGAACGCTGGGTCAGCAAATACCAATATTCAGAGGTTAACTACTCCCCCTCTCGAAGACAGACCGTCCTCGGTCGCGTTCAAGTTTTTTCTGCGAGATTTTTTGGGAGTTTCGGCATTTGAACACCAGCTAATGAAGCCAGTAGTCCCCGGCTCCCAGAGCACAAACTAACAACATTATGCAAAGGGAAATTGCCGATGTGTTTTCGACTGCGACACTGTCTCTAACCTCCTTGATGTAGTTCAGGTTGTCCTCACTCAGACGAAGAATGTAGGGAAGGCTGAGCACCGTGTCGTGATCGCTGATGTTTAGTAACGGAGATGCCGCTACTGCCGGAAACCGATTTTTCACGCTCATGCGAATAAAGTATCGCGTGCCATTTACCATGGCATGGGATGCGAAAGTGACAAGGCTTGTCCCATCTACTTTCATTGCGGCGGAGTCGTCATAGCTAAGTATTGCGCTGCGATCGTTTATGATGATAATGCCGTCGTTCACTATGGTGACAAGGTCGAGGTGACTCGGCTGCGTTTGGCAATGAGCCGTACCTCCTGCATAGAGGCCTTCCGCGCAGCTGCTGCTTTTGGACCGCTTACAGAATGTGGCAGTTGCTGTTTGTGAACAATTTACTACAGCTAAAATCTGGCCATCGCAATCAGCCACCAAATTGTCGTGAAGTTGAAGTACGGAACCATTGTGGGCGATTGGGAATATGGTTATCTTCCTGCATTGCTTGCTTATTATGGGGAACTGAATTATGAAAGTTATTACATTGTTCTTATGTTCTACTTTAATATTAGATACTTTCAAAATGTCTGTTATGGGGGTCCCTGTGACTTGGTCAGTGAAAATCTTCAGTAAATCAGAGTGATCAATTATTGCTGGATTTATTACATTTATTTTTTCTAATGTTAAAGTAAGCGTAAGGTTCCCTCTTTCTGTTATCAATAAGGTGACCTGTGTCGGCCTGCTTATCTTTTGAGGAGTTTACAGTGTCGGTCAGTTGGTTAATCTTTTCTTGTACTTAGGAATTTATTGAAATCTGCCTATTGCTTGCAGTGACCAGCTGCGTCTGCGTTAGTTCTACTCTCTTAAAGTCGTTCGCGTTCCCAAGAAGTCGAGGCTTCTTACCTTACGATGGTGCACATCGAGGGCGGACAACATGTCCATTACATGTCCAGTGTCAACTTCCAGCGATTTCCTCATATGGGAATGCGGAAATAGTCACGTTTGTTTCATAGTTTCTTCAGTCATTGTCTCGTAGTCCGTAAGGTTAGTAGTGTAACGTAAGTATCCGTAGCTGTCCCATAGTAAAATGTCCCCGTCCATAATTGGTATGTAGTCCGCGTGCTAGTAGTATGGTGAACGTAATACTAAAATGTTAAATGTTATGAAAACGGTAATGAAAGAATTGTGCTTTTAATTCAACGGAGGTTGTCCGTGTGGACCACCCCCCCCCTTAATGAGGACCGTTGTCCCCAAGTCCGCTTCAACCTTTTTTTCAATGCACAAGGGCGATAACTTGTTGCCTAGTCTGTGGTTCGTCTTAACCAGGATCTTTTCAATTACTTCAAAGACTCTGTTCTGACGCCTTTAGTTAACCCTGGCATTCTGCTGCATTTGAGCCTTTTCTATCTTGCATCTATCCCCGCGGGTAGATTCCGACAGAGAGTTAAGCAATATGTCCTTAGACTTTTTGTCAACCACTGAGTGAATGGAATTTTTATATTCGATAGTGGCCTGCAGGATGAGGTTGACCGTGTCAACTATACCACTTTGTAGCTTCATGCACCTAGGTATTTCCACAAGAGTACTGTGAAAGCGTTCTACCTACCCATTAGACGTGCTATGAACGGGAAGCGCATTTACCACGCTGACGCTGTAATCATTCAATAGCAGAGACCTGATAGTCTCTGACTTGAATGCGAGCTCATTGTCGCAATATACCTGCTTAGCCGAAGGGAAAATATTTATTTAAACTAGCAGGGGCGGTGTCGTGTGTTCTATCGTTCGAGATGCTATAGGCTGGACCACCGCAAACTTTGAGAATTTGTCTACGCAAGTCAAAAAGAATTTTTTGTCTGTGGAGAAAATATCGATATGTAACATTTCTCTTGTTTTTGACGGAAGAGGCGTCTGGCCGAGTGCCTGCTTCTTTGGGTGTCTGTCGTATTTAACTTTTGTGCAAATCTTACATTTAAGGACCACCTCATTAGCAAATTTGGTCATTCCAGGAAAATAATATTCCGTCAAGACCTGTGTTCTTTAGT